AAAAAATATGTTGCTTGTAGTCTACGAGGTTTTGCCATCTTTTTGTAATGTCATACCCTGAGATTTACCCCCCAGAACCACCCCAAGAACACACACACATTTCAGACAAAACTGTAATCAAGCATCAAATTCACTTTACAGGCTCTTTCAAGGACCTCAGTATTGTTCAAGAGTTATGGCAGAAGGGATTAGTACCCAAAACTCTCGCAGACTTAGGAGCAAAAGAAACCAAACTAAGGGTTTCTCTTATTCCTTTAATCAAATATTTTCTCTCCACAACATTATATTGTAACACAGATAAACTAGCTACTGATAGAAGAACAGAAATCACAACAAAACTGAAGAGAATTCAATCCCTTTTCTAGTGTTTGACTCTTATTAATCCACAGAATAATGTAGCATTATACCATTATTTACAAAAGTAATACAGCTTTTCTAGTTACATACAGTTGTTAATCAAACACAAACTATGAACTTAGCCACAATTTCCTAAAGATGGCAAGTACAAAGGAGAGCATCTCAATAAGCTTACTTCTTAGATTAGCAGTCAAGGCTGAGAAAAATATTCAGAAATGTTGGTACCTAATTTTCAGACCATATTAAAAAATAAGCAAGTTCACATGCACCTCTGCACAAACATCTTATGATCCTACTCTGTAAGAAACATGGCCTCTTTTTCAGATCAATCTGTCATTCTTAATATGAAAAAAAAAAGGGTCAAGGTATTGTATTCACAGGAAGTACGCCAGAGCTGCAGCAGCACACATAGAACCAAAGAACACAAGCCAGCCAGTCTTGTACAGAACACCCATGTCAAAACCATATCCGAGATCCCATGCCTGTTAACCAATAAGAACAAAGTGTCAAATCAACCAGTGAATTACCATTCCATTTTCTACAGGGAGACAGAAAGAATGCATCTTAAAGGAGCTATGTCACAATTTGCACACCTTGAAAAGTTTAGCCTGAATTTTTCAAGTTTGTCATTTCTAATCTGTGTTAATATTCTCCATCCTTGTTCCTTTATGGTTTACCATTATTTCTTAAGTGTGTTTCTTTCTTAGTGAACTACTACTAACAGTATTTTCAGGTTTCTTTCAATTTAAGGTAATTTTGAAGGGTGGCCAAAATAACTCAAAACACCATGACTGAGCTCCTTTAACCAGCATTATCTCGGGGTCTTTAGAAACATTTCTTAACTAATACAAAAACAAACAGCAAAAGTATAGATAAAGTCAAAAACTACGTACCAAATGTCTGATCCCATTAAATGCATGGTAGCAGAGCGGCCAAGCCAAAACAGTTTTGCCACTGAAAATGATCATGGCTGGGATTTCCAAAGCTTTTATCAAATTCAAATAATGCTCAAAGTTCTCAGGCAGTGCCAGGGCAGCAAGTGCAAAGGTGGTTGTAACTGAAAAGACAACAACAAACATGGCACTGGTTAAACTTTTATCCTGCCATACAGCCTATTAAACACATTCTCAGCTATGTCCACAGGTACACAACAAAATCAGGTGTGCATGAAGCATGAGCCAGTGAGAAATGCGAACCAACATGCAAGCCATTCTGGTAAGCCTAAACAACAATCTGGGTAGCCTAAACAACACCCTCATCTCCACCCCTAAAAAAAGTTTAAAAAAATTGTTAGCTAGCAGGTAGCCAGATAGCCAATAAGGATTGCTGACTTGCATGGTTCATTTACTGGTTAGCCTAAATAAATCTTCTATTAGCTTATCTGGCACTCTGTTAAGCACTTGGTTTTGTGCACCAGTACAGTGAAAAGGACCCTTTTCTCCACCTCCTTTCCTTTTGCCTTCTGCTAGCCCACTCAACTGGGTAGTCCAATACATATTTAATAAGTCCATACAAAAAACACAGTCAACATTTAGAGAACAAGAACCATTTTCTAAGCATTAGCACCTGCTGTCATAGCTACTCCTGTTCCACGATGAGTTATTGAGAGCATGGCAGTCAACTGTGGCCTGAAGAAGACAAATAAACAATTTGTAAGCATATTATAAGCTTCTATTTTGTGGCCTCACAGCTTGTTCAAAAAATAATCATACAAAAATAACTACATTTTAGGCTTTTTACCCCCTCCCTTAACTCCAAAACAACATATCCTTCAAGGCTGGAAATTGCATAATCCTTTTATTAAATGTTACCAATTACCATAGTAAGTCAAAATTTTCAATTTAAGCTTACCTATAAATTGTCAAATGAGGAGACATTGGTCTATTAAGACGGGTATTTTTAGTCCAAAAATCTTCCTGCTTGCGAGCCAACGACGTAGTAGTAATCGGAATACTGAAAATTCAAAGAAAGACAAGTTTGCTAAACAGATTCCCTGAAAAACAAAAGCTGTAGTTTGCAGAACGAAGACGTGCAAGGTGGCACAGATCAGAAATTACCTTCGCGTTAACAAGCACGATGGCCGAAAACATCCTTTAGCTAACACTGATGAGATCCTTGCAGAGTTCCTGTGTAATTTAGAAAAGGCTTTTAGCATAATTAGTCACAGAAAATCGATGTAACCTTTACTCGCAGTCGTCATGTACCTTAGAAGAGCCGCCATCTTGCAGAACTACCTCAAGGTATTGTGGGATTGAGGGTATTTCTCTGGAAAATTGGAAAAAGTTTACCGGAAAATCAAAAGTTATGTAGCAAAGAAAAATGATAGAAACATTTAAGGTCTGGAATATGTTTTATACTTTTTTTATCTTCTGTAAATAATGATTAAAAAAGCGAAAAAATTTCAAGTCCGTATTACCCATAAGTCTTTTGGTGCTTTGATGCGTGCAAAGCCGCACGCGTTACGTAAAGGAAGGCTGGGACTGCAAAGAATCAAGATGGCGGCTATTTTGTACTCTCGTCTTTGCATTAGAAACAGTGGCCGACTAGGTAGGAACACTTCTTTCTTTTGCCGGAAAACATGAATTCGAACTTGTATTTTACTATTGTAATTGCTTATTTACAGTGTGTTCGCTTGGAAGGCCTGTTCTCGCGTCATCGACCGTTTCTTGCACTCCAAGGGTTCAAAGTGGTAAGCTTATATTAAAGTTTTCTTTAGACCAACAAGATCATGGAATTAAACCCTTTGAGGAGACTTATGTAATAAATTGTTAATAACATTTCTTCCTTTTAGTGGTTCTGAAAAAGACTGTCCATTCTTCGGCAAATCACAAGGCTGAGCTTGGTAAGAGACAGAACAGAATTATTGTAAGATTATGTAGCCATAGTATTCGACGGGACTCTCCATCTTTTCTTTATCAGTCAGAAAATATGGCACCATCGTTTGTAAGGTGAGACCAAAATGTGTTTTCCAGCTTGCTGGACCTGGGATGGGCTAACCTGTAACTATTTACAGGGCCATAGCCAGAAAAAAATTACACGACTGTCCATGGTTAAATTCTTTTCCGACGTATTTAGCATTTTTTACACATCCCCCTCCAAAAATAAAACAACAAAAACCAAAAAATGACTGAGACAAGTGCCTCGGCTTGCCTCATACTGGCTCGGCCCTACTCCTCATCTCTGGGAGCAGGAATGACGCAGTGGTGAGAGCGCTCACCTCCCACCAGTGTGGCTCAGGTTGAACTCCTGGACCCAGCATCATAATTGGGTTCAGTTTGTAATTGGTTCTCGCCTTGTTCCAACGGTTTTTTTTCTGAGTTCTCCAGTTTTCCTCCCTCCATTAGAACCAACACTTCTAAATTCCAATTTGATCTGGAAGCAGTGGACGAAGGATCTCTCCATGTGATGTGCCATTGCAAATTCCTATTTATTTATTTTATTTATTTGTCAGTAACATTGAGGAGATTATGTGTTTTACTTTGTAGAACTGTCCCCTTCTCAGCCATCCACTCATTGGAAAGGAGAACGTTATGTTAGTGTTGCCCTTCTGACTTTGATTCCTGCAGGAATCATTTACCCATCAGCTGCAGTAGACTGGGCTCTTGCTGTTGTTATTCCTTTGCACAACCACTGGTAAGTTATCTCCAACAGTATTATGTTTGTTGGTAAAACAGCTTCCAGGAGAACAGCTTCCAGGAGATACTGTTAGTTGCCTGTTGGCCTGTAGTCAGCTGAATGTTGACTGACTGTGGGCTGTCTTTTTTGGTTTTCCTGGTGTTTTTGACCAGTGTATAGCAAGACGAACATGCCTATACAGACTACAATTTCTTTTTCCATTTCACTTCTCAGGGGTGTTGGTCAGGTGCTAACAGACTACATACATGGCTCAACAATGCCGAAAGTTTCCAAGGGTATCTGGTTGGCTGTGTCGATATTACAATTCATTGGCCTCTGCTATTTTAATTATGCTGATGTTGGTATCTGCAAGGCTGTCAGTATGATCTGGCACATGTAGAAATACCAAGAGTGATTGTACATGACCTTCTGTTCTTACAGTTCATGTTTGTGTTAAAACAGGTAGTTAAAGAATTAGGATGAGGAGACAAGAAGTGGTTCTCCAGTTTCTTAATTATTGGTCTGTGTGAGATTGTAAGGGGTGATGGATGGTAAAATCTGACACTCACCCTGAGAACATGACAAAATTTAAACTGGTCAGTTTGAGATGAGAAGATTTCTGCAAAATCTGTGCCTGTGCCTGTGCCTGTGCCTGTGAAACCTTTACACCATTTAGAAAGAGGATATGTAGTTTTAATAACACAACATTGATGTACATTTAAAATTTCATCCATAATTGTAACAGTATCAGTGCTTGATCTAGGAGAGGGTTCTAGGGGTGCTGCTCCCCTTCTCTGCATATTAACTATTTATTAACTAAGAGTGAGGTCTTGATGGGAAAATTTCAAACCTCGGCCTTGCCGTATTGACCTTGGGTACAGCAAGGCAGAGGTTTGAATTCTGTTAAGACTGAATGTTTGAGGTTAATGAGTTATCTATTATATGGCTTTTTGCTTTCCTTTTGCATGCCCATTATTGGCCCATGGCCATTACGGTTGAATAGTGCCCTAGAATTAGCCAATCAGTGTGCACGTTATATCAACTACAAACACAAGTCATATAGTAAACCTGAATTACACAAGGCTTGAAGTTCTGAAAGGTTCCCTTTTTTGAGCACTCTAGGATTCATCTCCAAATATGTAACTAACTCCTACTCTGATTACCAATAATTGGTTAGTACCATCTAGTTCTAAACAGAAATAGTTTGTCATTATTTTTCTTGACATGGAAAGTTGATCAAATAGTTTTAATTAAAATTACTGTAGTAATAAAATTGTTATTCTGTTGTTACACCAGACTTTCCTTGAGCAGTTACTAACAAATAAATGTTTTAATATATGACTGTTATATGTGGTTGGCAGTCAATTTGTTGATACAATTCAAGTATACTAAACAGAAATTCAAAGATGGTATATCAATTCCCCTTCCAGGGAAGTTCATCAGAATTCCCAAATGGGAAGTGGAGTTTCACAAGCCAAATTTTTTTATTGACACCTGTGTCTGCCGTAACCGGTTGTGACAAGTGTTGGCCTTTGTTCCACTTCTGACATCACCACCTTTCACCAAAATTGGCATCACTTACACTCAAGTTCTGTAGGAGGAAAAGATCTCTCCAGTGATACCCAGATCAGAGTGATTGGGTCAAATGAGATTGTTATATTTTCAAAAATGCTAAGAAATTTGACTGAAGATCTCGAAGCAAAATTTCCCTCAACTACACTGGGCCACTCCACGGTAAGAATTGCCCATCTGGGTGATGCTTTCTGTGTAATTCTTGAACTGGAAGCAAGCCTAGAAGAAGGTCAATCACTGCAGCAAAAAGATAAGAAAAGGAGAAAAAGGAATGTC